TGTTTTGCTCCCATAAGAACAAATCACTGCAGATCACCTATTCATTGTTTCGACATAAGACACACCTGGGAACCCAGAATGGAAAAGGTGAACCTGCAATTTTTAACCTAAGCATCACAGAAGCCCATGAATCAGGCCCCTACAAATGCAAAGCCCAAGTTTACAGCTGTTCAAAATACAGCCGTGACTTCAACTTCACAATTGTCGGTAAGTAGAGCACCTGTTCCTTGGAGCCCTATAATTTATAGGGTCTTTTCTGGTTCTATGAGGGGCTCTCCATGACCCTTGTGAACACTTAACAACCTGGAAAGTATGTTACTGCGATCTTTATTCTTTTTTTATTTTTTATTTATTTTTAGACCTGGTCAACAGGAAGTATTTTTAATTTTTTAATTTTTGAGATCTGTATTCTTTTTTTTTTTCTTTTGAGATGGAATCTCACCCTGTCACCCAGGCTGGAGTGCAGTGGCATGATCTCAGCTCACTGCAACCTCTGCCTTTCAGTTCAAGTAATTCTCCCACCTCAGCCTCCCAAGTGGCTGGGATTACAGGCACATACCACCACGTCCAGCTAATTTTTGTATTTTTAATAGAGATGGGGTTTCACCATGTTGACCAGGCTGGTCTTGAACTCCTGACCTTAGGTGATCCACCCACCTCAGCCTCCCAAAGTGCTGGGATTACAGGCGTGTGCCACCGCTCCTGGCCAAAATTTATTAATTTAATAGCCTATGTCACCCAGGCTGGAGTGCAGAGGCTACTCACAGGAAATCAAAGTCCACCACAGTCTCAAACTCCTGTTCTTAAGAGATCCTCCCACCTCAGCATCCTGAATAGCTGGGATTACAAGCACATGTCATAATTGAAATCAAGTTAATGAAAATTAGATGAAATAAAAAATTTCACTCCACAGTCTCATTAGTTACATTTCAAGGCTTTGGTAGCCACACCTGTAGCTGGTGGCCACCACATTGGACAACACAGATGTAGACCATTCCCATCATCACAGAAAGTTCTACTGGGTGACATTGCTGTAGCTCAGTGATTCTTAGCTTTTTAGGTTATAACTGTCTTAATAACCTAGTGATAGCAATGAATACCTTCTCCAGAGAAATATTCATAAAACTGCAGATACAAATTTCTGCATAAGGTTTTAGAGGATGCTACAGACTCCAGGTTAGAACCCAGTATCTTGGCCAGGTGCAGTGGCTCACAGGTGTAATCTCAGCACTTTGGGAGACTGAGGCAGGAGGATCACCTGAGCCCAGGAGTTTGAGACCAGCCTGAGCATTATATGGAGACCATGTGTCTACAAAAAGTTAAAA